TTTTATAACATTCCTAATTAAATTTGGGCGAAGAGAATATTTCTGTTTGCTGTAGGTAATTTTCTCAGGGAAAATACGTAAATAAAAATGACTTTTTAAGTCAAAAAAAGTCAAACGGACAAGTTATTCTAAAAAAGGACTGTCCTTATCAAAAAAGGACAAGTGGCAACCCTAGGTAATTCTGGAATGGAAATTTAATGGCAAATCTACAACTTTGGTTTGAAAATATGTTCCAGCCACCTATGTTTACAAAAATGTCTAAAATGTGCCTAAATGCCTCCATATTCTGAAAAAAAAATTGAAAGAAAAGTCACCAACCACAAACCTAATATAGAACTTTTTTGGAAGCCTGAGTCACCCTGTAAATATTCAAAAGTAACTGAAAGTTTTTATAGAAGTAACTGAAAGTTTAAATTGAAAATCGACGTTGGAGTGATTTTCGAAAACTACTAACGTTTCAACATAAGTATATGTGGGATATTAATTGTATTATTATATTAGACCTTATAACAAAACTCATCTGACGAAAAAGTGCTAATGTAGTATATTAATATGGAGTAAAAATTTTACTAATTACTTTACTTTTACTTTACTAATTAAATTCGTTCCAAAAAACGATACGCCACTGGCCATTAGAACACATCCAAATGTGCCTAGTTGCCGGGGTCGGAAATTTTAGACTTCTCTGTCTCTTCTGTCCTTGTTTGACACATTGGAATGTTTGATACACTACCAACGAGTATTTATGAATGAGATGTTCGGTCTATCTTTATAATGTCTTTGGTATTAAAGAACCTTTATTGTCACGTTCTCGTTCAAAATAGTTTATCCGGGAAGCTACAAACTCTTAGTTTCGACTGTTTAAATGCTTCGGCATATTTTCAACACACAAATTTCGAGAAATGCAAAAAACTCGAAAATTTAGTTCTTAAGCCTTAAGTACTAACACTCCGTCTCACAGACGCAAAGGACTAGCTGGACATATGACATCTCCTCTCCTCTCCACTTCTAATTATCATCCAACTATGTAATTTCAATACGCATCAAAACAAGTTAAAGGCCGGCAGGGCAATTTGCGAAAGTGTATAGTTTTCGAAATATTTTAGTTCAAACTGTCGATGCCCTCTGACAGACGGAGTGTTAGCGTTAACGTAAGTTTTTTTTTAAATTTGTGGAATGAATGAAGAACCTAGTAGCTCAAAAAATGTAAAGTATGGCAAGAAAGATTACAAGGATACTCTTCTAATGTGGTTTGAAGGGACTGGCAGCGATAATAGCAAAATAGTGACAAAGAATCCGAATGTGGCGAAAATTTTGCCATAGAGAGCGATCATAATTCTGAATTCGAATTAGAAGCTAAAAAACGGTTTTTAACTAATGTCTAATGGTATGTAGCTGTATATGTTTTGATATAGATGATGAAAATATGGATGTGAACGATCAGTAAACTAATATCGAAGAAAGTGAAGAGAACAATTTGTTTGGAATGCGCAAAAAAGTGTGTAGGGAACAAGCCCATCTTTAGGCATTGTCATTTTTTTATTCTTTATATTTTCTTTTGATTTTGTGCTTAATAGATAGGTTTTTATATGCTACATATAGTAATCAATATATTTTTTCATTTTCCTTTCGCTTTTTTTTCTATCTCGATGAGAAACATAGATATGTCAAAAATCCAAAATTAGTACTTTTATTTCAAAAATATAAAACATGTTCGCATAATATAAGCATTAGATCATTTTTTCCTGTAGTTTTAATGCTAATGATTCACTCCACTTACAAAAAATCTGTTAGACACGAACAAAATATGATTTTTTTTAATGCTCTCAGACGGTCTGTTAGTATAGGCGCGACTATTTCAATATGTTAGTACTTAAGGGTTAAAAGAATTGTTTGTGCTTAAAAGTACAATTTTTTAAAAAAAGACTATGAAAATAAGCAAAAAACGAGAATTACTCACAAAAATTCAACAACAAAACGATATTATACAAAATAATGACTGACATTAGGATAATTGTCAAATAATAAACGACAACCTTTCTGAAAACGCAATGTGACCAACATAGCGATAATAAAATTCCGTTTAAACTAATTTTTGCTAGCTTTAATCTAAATAAAATATCTGAAACAATCGATTTGCTCTATCAAGTAAAATAGTAAGAAAACATGCTCGAAATCTAAATTATACAACAAATTTATGCATCATCTGTCAAAAATATCATTAATCAGGTTTATAAAAAACCATTCATTTATATAATTCATTCATGATTGATGACATGCATCGGAAAATGTTATGTAAAATAAAACTGATTTAGTATTCGCCCGGCGACGTACAATTTTTTTCCTAGAAACCCTCTTTGTTTTCCAGGTCTGACCCTCGACCAGAACCTGTCGATAGGTCCACTGGGCCCGCAGTCCCCCTCGAGATGAAACCGGACGCGGCCGCCCTCGGCCAGTTCAGCCCCCAGGGACCCAACAGCCCCAACTCGTACGCTTTGAGCCAGGTTGGGCTGCTCAGTCCCTCGCCAGGAGGGAGGTGGGCAGAAGGGCAGCCCAGGGCAGCCCCTACCCTCCCAACCACCCCGCTGAGCGGGTCAAGCGACCACAATGCTCGATTTGCGGGGACAGGGCCAGCGGCAAGCATTACGGAGTTTATAGGTGAGTGTAGTTTTTAGTATTGAAAATACTTCTGGCCGCGTTTATATGGGACCCATCTTTGAAAAAACGACATGCTAGAAGCAACATGGGTTCAATAACCTGCCTGTCAACACGTACTTAAGTTGATAGAGCCGGCGTCTAGGGCAAGGTCGAGTCTGGACCGGCGGATAAAGAAAGCGATATTATTTTAAAAGAAAATATGTCAAGGCATGGGTTGTTAGGTACAGTTTGGCTATTTTAATCTAACTATTTCCGTATGAGAAACAAGGGGCAAATTATACGAGAAAGAGGAGAATCACATAAATAATAAATTTAGACTAATTACCATATTTTTATATGATTATATTTTTTTAATTATCAACTTAGGACAAAGAAAAAAGCTTGCATGGTTTCCACCGCCAACAGGCGTTAAAACAAATGAATCCAAGGCGTTGTCAAATATTTATTGGGATAAGTTGATAAGTTTATTCCGTTGGTATATTGTTAGTAAGGGATAATAACTATATATATCATTTTTTTAGTAATATTAACTTGTCACAATTCAATAACACGGCGAAATTTCAAGGAAATCGGCCAACGGATCTTAAGAAATATTAATAAAAAAAATAATAATTACAGTAATGACACCCTGTATCTATTAACATTAAAATTTAAAACACATGTTTATATTAACATTTTTAAGTACCTAGCAAAATACAAACAACAAACCTTCTGAAGTTGGCCAGATACTTATATTAACATCCTGTATTTAAATAATATAGTTTCTAAATTTTTTGTGGCAACAGCTATGTTTATTAAATAATAGAAATTACAGAAATACATTGTAATAAAAACAAACAAACCCATAAAATCAATTACTATAAACATATTTATTAATTTTAAATGTATCTAAATAGGCACTTTAATAATTGACAAATGGACATGAGCACTTCATAGAGTATACCAAATATGTAAAAAAATCCAATAAAAAAAACCACAAATGGCCCATTAAAATCTGCATTATCTGAAATCAAACTATAGGTACCTAAACGGCCAATCAGTCAGACAACAGTCACAAGACGCCGACATCGATAACGCGATGAGCAGTTTTTAATAATTATTCGAGTTAATACTTCAAGTAGCATTCCTTTAAATAAATTTTAATTTAAGTATTGTTAATACATATAGTCATATTAATGATTATAGCCTGTATGATTTCTAAAATAAAAAATCCAGCGTGTTTTTATAAATAAAAAATTAGAAATCAAAATTATATATGTATTACATTTATTACTTTGTATTAGTTTTAAAATAGTATTTGCTTTTACTGGATTTACTTTTAAAAATAAATGAAATATTTCTTCGCAAAAATCTACATGTTAGAGAATTAGCATAAACAAATACAAATATCGTTAACTTTTTTAAATTTAAATTGTGGTAAACTTGTAATCAATCAATTTATTTTTCATCCTAAAATCTTGACTTCGATAACCATTTACTTTTTTTTTACTTCGATAACCACATTACCACATTACTTAAACATGATTATTAAGTTCAACTAATTCATATTACTAAAACATCTAAAATACAAATACATATGTATTTTTAAAATTAATTGTGAGTTCACCTCATCTCTCTGAAAAATTGTTACTTCTCAACATTTTCCATTAAAAAAATAGACCATATACCGCATAAAATTAAATAATTGAAAGATCGGAAAATCACACAAATTTTCGGAAAAATTTTGACCACCTGCACACGCACAGAATCGTCAATTTAAAAAAAACACTACTACTTTAGTATTTTAAATATTTTAATAAACGTAAAAATAGCACAGTATTAAGAAGGCAAGTTATAAAAATTTGAAAGAACTAATAATGCACTGACGCACACAAAAATCAAACGAATACTAAATTTCATTTATCAAAAGCATTCGATAGTCGTGGCATAACGATAACCATTTAGTCGCACGGCGAGGTTGTCACATATGCTTTAGTATACAAATGAATGAACGATTTTATTCGAATGAAACCATTCGATAGTTGAAATCATTCATTCAGTAACCATTCGATAGTCTAATTCATTCGATAGTTCCCATCGCTAATTTTTGCAGCTTTAATCTAAATAAAATATCTGTTACAATCATTTGCTCTATCAAGTAAAATGAAGAGCTGCTCGGTATTTAAATTATACAACAAATTTAAACATTTTTGTCAAAATTTCATTTAGTCAGGTTTATAGACTTTAGTGTCAATGTCGACATGATTGATGACGTGCATCGGAAAATGTTATGCGATAACTTTAACTTAATATTATTAACTAATACGTACAATTTTTACCTAAAACGCCTCTTTGTTTTCCAGGTCTGACCCTCGACCAGAACCTGTCGATAGGTCCGCTGGGCCCGCAGTCGCCCCTCGAGATGAAACCGGACGCGGCCGCCCTCGGCCAGTTCAGCCCCCAGGGACCCAACAGCCCCAACTCGTACGCTTTGAGCCAGGTTGGGCTGCTCAGTCCCTCGCCAGGAGGAGGTGGGCAGAAGGGCGGCCAGGGTAGCCCCTATCCTCCCAACCACCCGCTGAGCGGGTCGAAGCACCTGTGCTCGATTTGCGGGGACAGGGCCAGCGGCAAGCATTACGGAGTTTATAGGTGAGTGTAGTTTTTTTATGATAGTGTGGCAATAATATATACCCGGTGTTTCTCAAGAGTCACCCTTATAACTTTTTTTAATTTTTCTGATAAAAAAACGAGATTTGGTATGTTAGTATGACATAAATTAGGATTGATTGACGTATTCAATTCGTCGGCTTTATGACGAAAAGGCGTATCTCAATTTTTGCTACTTTTCAGGAGAGCAATTTAAAGAAAATCACTTATTTTATTTGGCCAATAAATGTAAATTCTTTAATTTTTTAATAGTGTTTTTGTATTAACACTTAAACGAAGACCTAGAGGAAACGTTCTGAAGATAAATTGAGCGTAAATTATACATACATACAAAAAACAATCTGGAAATCGCCAAAAACCAGAAACAAATATTTTTAAATACTTTTATTCGCGTTGGATTAGATCAACTGAAAACAAAGACAATGTTTTCCAGAAGCAAAGACAATAATAATTTAAAATACTCTTATCTGGCTTATTCTGATAATATTGTTTTTTTATACAAAAATACATTTTTTAACTAATATATTTTTAGTAATTATTTACAGTCTTGCAGTAGCGAAATACCCATATAGGATTTTTTGGAAAGATCAATCCGCCACATAGGTATAGACATTTTTTAGTTAATTGAGTTGAATATAGCCACATAGGTATATACATTACTTAATTAATTGAGTTGAATGGCAGGTTTATCACCAGTGCAAAGGGGTTGTAGATAATCTTGATATTTTCGTAATATGCATGAGCAATATAACGGATTTAGTAAAATTGTCCGAAAACAATTCTCCTCAGTTATTGATCGAAAATAAAGTTAACCGAAAAGATATTTGCACGATAAAAAATCATCGAATTACAATTAACAGAAATAAAAATTACCCAAAATGTCGATTTTTTGTAAAAGATTGTTCTAATACAGGGTATTTAAACACACGGTCCATTTAATAAAAACCAAACTAAACAAAAACAAAACATGTTTCTTCATCTGTGCCTTTTTGATAGAAATAACTGTGGAGTAACCAAAGGGAGTAACTGATAACAAATTCGACTTCCACTCTACGTGTTTATGCTGGATGATGATAGGCAGATAGGCATGCACAATAAATAAAATTTTCCAAAAATTGGCAGGGATGACAATGACAATAGCCTGACAATGATAATGAGATGAAAATTATTGTATTTTTCGGGCAAATTTTTGGTTCCTTAAAATGTTGATAGGAAAATTTTCCGTTAGGGCAATTTTCATTTGGTTGTTGAATGGTGTGATTTTCTCTCGCATGCATGCATTTTCATAACTTAAAACAAAAGGACCTATCTCAAATTCATCATCATCTTTCTTGTACATAGTAACATTTGGTATAACAATTGATATGACAAAGAGCCCTATCTCAACATACGTCTCTTCGTCATAACGAAGAATTGTAGTATTTGAGATGGGGCAAATTTTTAAACGAATATAAAATAAAAAGGGTATAATATTGAGATGCGCAAATTCGCTATGTTAAAATATGACCCACTGGGCATGTCATGACGCTGATATCTCAAAATGGCTAAAAATCGAGATACGCCTTTTCGTCATAAAGCCGACGAATTGTTTTTAGTCACTTCCTGTTTCACCGGAAATGACTAAAACTTTTTCTTTTTAAATGATACTCTCGGTATTTTTTTACTTTATTCGATAGAAAATGACACTGAATAGAATAGCATAATATATCATAAGGCAACTTCTGACATTTTCGATTAAAAAAAATCGTATTTTTAATTTCAATCTAGAATGTCATGGCTGTGTTAAAAACACTAATTTTAATCAAAATGCCTTGGAAAAATAGATTTGATCGTCTGTTGTTTTTCGCGTCTTGTTCTGGCTAATTAAAAGATGCCCAAATCGTATTTTTAATCATATCTCAATTTTCTTCAAATGGACCGAGGGTGGCTCATTGGCATATTTAGAAAAAGCATTTGTTACGAATAATTTGGTTTGGTAAATATTAAAATCGCAATCGCAAGTTACCGATCCAAATCGCAGTTTTGTTCATCTCTAGTTACCACATTAGCCAGAATTGTAAATGGTTATTATACAAACTAACTAAAATAGCTGGTTGATATTAAAACAATAATATAAAATCACGGCATTAACCAAAATGAATATCTGATTTATAAACTAACAATCTAGTTTGTAAAATAGCTGCTGAATAGTTATGTGCTATTTTGCAAAAATAAGCAAGTTCTTTCAAATTAACATCGCTTTTAGTTATATTCTTTACTAAAGCTTTAAGTAGTCAGTTTGTAAAATGGCTGGTTAATTTTAAAACTAGCCAATCCTACATTTTAAGTTGCTTATTGAGCGAGAAGATCTATTTTGAGGGCAATGTTTCTCTCTTGGTATGCTACTAAGAAATGAAAATTATTTAAAAATAATGTGAATACTCAAAAATGACTGATGCATCTTTTTTTTATAAGACTGCATCGAGTAAATTGACCGAGTTATTAAAAATAATAAAAATTTAAGCTAGTATGTGTGTAAAGCATAATATTATGCCGTTGTGAATGTCCCCGTTTGACATTAACGGACACTGTCAAGGGCGTGTGACTAAACGAGGAGTATGAAACGGCGAGAATGTTATTCGCTTCATTACACGACATCAAAGACGTGCCGCGACCAGAACCAGAAATAGTACGTCGTATCTGTGTAGGTTTGTGTGTGTTTACGGGGCTTCGCAAGTTAGGGAAGGGAATTTATAATATCAATTAGCCATTACCCTTGACTTTGTTCGGGTGACATACTACAGACAATCTTTTTGTGTCACAAACCAACATTACACACATACAAGTTTAAAAATATTTACACTAAAATTTATGTAGGGTTGGGGGTAGTTTTCATCCGTCCAGTACTCTGTCTTGATTTTTGTGAAAGTACAATGTTAAAGCACTTAACAAAACATACTCATTCAAATCGGAATAACGGTTTTTAAAATATCTAAAAAAATGTATTTATTTTTTTAAAATTTGATGCCGTCTAGAGGACTAACGAAGTACTTTTGTATAGGGGTAAATTGTGTCCAATGGACTTATTTTGATTCCAAAAATACGTAGTAGTTCTATGTCCACGGAATATTAGGATACCCTGTTGATTTTATTATTATACCTTTTGCTACGCTCTTAGATTTTATTGAAACAATATCCCAAACATGGCTTCTGAGGTTTTGTCCCGCTAGAATAACCATCCGCCCCACTGTGTGCCAGGTGAAAATATGATATACCGGGTGGCGTATTTCCAAAATATACCATGTAGACAGCATAACGCAAAACGTCTGTAAGCCCCGCCCTCAAGCTTAGTTCAGCAGTGAAGGTGTCTCTAACGCGGTATAGAATGGAATTGGGAAATGCGTCAAAATCGGGTATAGTTCGTAGTCGCATTACTGGCGTAACTTTTGATAGAATAAACAGTAATATTCATTTATGTAAACCTAGTATGTATCTATTCTTTATTATTACATTAAAAACATGGATACAAAAAATGAAAAAGAAACATTTATTTATTAAATAAAATAGCAGGTGGTCGTGACTGACTAAGTTAAGAAAAAACTCAAAATTTAAGTGAGGATGCAGTCAATAATCACCACATAGGCTAATAAAACTACTTTTTCAAATTTCTCAAGCTTTCGAGAATTTTGTTCCCATCATGACAGTTTGAGTCAATTAGCAAAAAAAACATCCTTTGCACAAAAAGGCCTTAAAAACTAGCATCGTATAACATTGGACTACAAGGACTTTTCCTTTATAAAATATTAAAATACATATCCAACGATATTACTTTTCTTTAAAACACAAACAAAAAATTTTTTTAAAAATTTTAATTTTTACATTGTTATTTCGAGCTCGATCAAACAGTGACCTTATTAAATAATGTATATTATATTAATTTCTTTAAAATATCACACACTTAAAAAAATTAAACATTGCTATTTCCTGTTAGACTGTAATATTTACCATGTCCTTTGGTATTTTGGGGTATTTTCGGTAATATATTTCCTCAAGCACCATTTTTTCTTTTTTAGTCTGGTCTCTTCTGATGGCCTTCCTGATTGCCTTCTTCTTTGCGAACCATAAGTTCTTCTGGATAAAGCTCTTGGTTGTACTTTAATATACTTGTTTTTTTTTACAGTTTATTGTAGTATTTGTGAGAAATGTTTTTAACTGCTGCTCTGTGTCAATATGATGTGACATTATTAAACCGTTTTAATATTTCTAAACATCTGATTACTTTTCTTTTTCTTAAACCTAGCCTTTTTCCATATTTGTTTTTATAAAGCATGAGATTCAAAACTGTCTTCCTTAAACTCTAGAGGCCCGACAAATATAGATATAGCGTTACTTACAGCACTGTTTTTTGATGAATTACCAGCTGTTGACTCCTGTGAAGCTGAGTCCCTATTCTCATCGCGAATTTTATTTCAAGTTTTATATTTTTTAACATAATCTCTAACGTACTTTGCTTTGTCATCCTGATGCTTGTTTAGAATTCGCAACAGTCACAAACTGGCTAATTCAATGCAAAAATGCAAGAAGTGATAATGAATGCTCACGTAGCTTATATCACATTGTAACGCTGAGAAGCCGACTCCATAGTATACTGCATTTGGCGCAATATCCTCTATTCCATTCTATACCACGTTAGAGACATCTTCAATGCATGGAGGCGGGGCTTAGAGATCCTATGTTCTCTACATGGTATATTATGGAAATACGCTACCGGGTGCGTCTCAAAAGTTGCTCACCCCTACACTTTTTTGTTTTCCAGTTAAAAAAATGAGATTTGGTATGTTAGTATATGATATAAATTAGGATTGATTGACGTATTCAATAATTGTTTTCGGTCACTTCCTGTTTCACCGGAAATGACTACAACTTTTTATTTTTAGATAGCACCCTTGGTATTTTTTTACTCTATTTGATAGAAAATTACACTCTGAATAGAATGACAAATCATATGTCAACTTTTGACAGTTTTGCATATGGTTTATTTGAAATTATAACATGCGGTTCATAACGAAAATTTGACTCGAAATACTAAATGTGTGTATCAAATTATTCGTAAAAAAATGCTTTTTTCCGAATATCCTAATGAGACACCCTCGTTTCTTTGAAAAAAAAGAGATATGATTAAAAATACGATTTGGGAATCTTTTAACCGGCCAGGACAAGACACTAAAGACATTAGACGATCAAAACTATTTTTCCAAGGCTCCTTGATTTGATTAATGGTTTTAACATAGCCATGGCACTCTAGATTGAAATTTAAAATACGATTTTCTATTAAGCGAGAATGTCAAAAATTTGACATATGATATGTCATTCTATTCAGAATTCAGAATTTCATATTCTATCGAATAAAATAAAAAAATACCGATAGTGTTTAAAAATCAAAAGTTGTAGTCGTTTCCGGTGAAACAGGAAGTGACCAAAAACAATTGAATACGTCAATCAATCCTATTTTATGTCATATACTAGCATACCAAATCTCGTTTTTTTTTATATGAAAAAATAAAAAGTTATAGGGGTGAGCCACTTTTGAGACGCAGCCGGTATACCTCTTCTGGGGGTGTGGTGCTAGCTCTGTAAGTTGGTTGGGGGATGCTAGGTGGTCCTACGTGGGTCCAATAGAGTGCTAAAATGTTACTGTTAAGTGACCCACAAACGGTCAATATTGACCGTTTAGGGTTTACATTGAAAGGTTGTGCAATAGTGATTAGTTTGTATCGTGTGTGGATAATATTGCATAATAGTTCAGGTGGTATTTTTGTTTTCTCAGCGTGTTTATCTCGCTGCTCACTGCTCGGCTCTATTTAGAATATTTAGATCAGTGGTTTGTCAGCAAATATGGGATCAAAAGCAAAAGAGAAAGAAAGACGATTTATTTTAGAAGTCATCGAAATGTACCTTTCTTTGCCAGCTTTATGGAATACAAAAAGCAAAGAATATAGCAACAGAAATAAAAAATGATTTATTTTTATTTTTATTTTAATAAATAATTCCTCAAATGTTGCTTCGTCCATTGGTAGAAAGTTTCGGTAATCAGCAGGTTCACTAACTTTTAATTATTTAATAGATTTTCATTACTATACTGGCCTCTTATACTAATCTTTCATCCATTTACTTCAACACTTTTGTTTCTTTGTTAAACAAGTGGCTAAATCAATGGCAATAGCAGCTTGTTTTTTCTTATCCATGTTAACCAAAGTGCAAAACGAAACTAGTTATTGAACAAATTCATTGTACTGTTTGGAGATAACTAACAATATTATTGGGAAATATTATTGCTCAAACATATTGACCGTCTGTGGGCCCCTTTGAATGTTTGGAGAACAACGATGGGGAGGCTGTACTGTAACGGACCCCACCGTGTATATAGCCGGGTATCGGAGATCGCTTCCCGCGATCAGCGCGGCACCGGGACCCGGTGAAAGAGCACCAAGGACGCGGTGATGCAACGCGGGCGCGTGTACAAGGCCACGGTCGCCTCCATTTACATCCCATTTTATCTAGTAGCGACGTTGCCAGCTACTCGTGCCGGCTGCGGCTACGACGGGGCTTTACTGCACTTAGCCCAATCACTTTAGATTTTTTTATAAAATAAATTAAAAGCAAATCTAGAAATTAGGCGTGTTCGGTCGTCCGCTATACCGTTACCAGGACCGGTACTTGAAATATTCCGGTATCGGTATCGTCTTTTATAAGACCGGTATGCCGGTTTCGGTATACCGATTTTGTACCGGAAGACCGATTTTGGTACCGGTACTGGAAGACCGAATTAAATCGGTCCCGAAAGACCGGTTTCAATCGATACCTGAAAACCGGTTTCAATCGGTTCAGAAAAATAGATACATGATAATATGTAAATCAAAAAACCTGTATAAAACGATTTAGGCACCGGTTTTTGTGCAAAGCTGATTGTGTTCTCCTACTCTATGTACCTTATGTTAGAAAAAAAAACTGCGTCAGCGATGGCTATGAAATGAAGATCGCTGTCATTTTATATGGGGAATGTAATCCATGTTCATTTCCAAGGTAGCTGGACGCCGGTTTTTTTTTCGGTCATTTGGTATAATACGGTCAGGAACATGCAATGTAATTTATTTTGATGTATGTTTAAGGCATTGCTAGTCTAGTTTGGTCTTAGTTATTCTTGAACCTATGCTAAGAAAAAAACTTCGTATATGAATGTATGTCCTAAACATCTTAACTTTTGAGATACAAGGTGGTAAATTTTTCCAAAAAAATGTTTTTTTCATAATAACTCTTTCATAATAGGATATTTTTATGGAACTTAATCCACGCTTTATATGCAGCAAAAGTCTTTTTGATGTTCAAATAAAATTATTTATTTCAACCAAGAGCGTCCGCACGGGTTTTATTACAAGATATTTCGAGAATACGAAAGTACGAAAGATAAAGTCCGTGGACTTTACCTTTCGTTTGTTTTATTAGACAAATATAATCTCAAAGGCCAAGTCCGGGATTTTCAAAGAAATGCATATTTTTTATTATAATAGTGGAAAATAAAAGTGACTATAACGAACTCAAATATGATCTAAAGTTGTTGGACTACACTGCTGTGTCGCCGCACCGCGATTCTATTCCGAGAGTTGAAATTGCAGGAATAGTTAGGCAGACTTGGTGTGATTTAAGTGCATTTTTTGCATCGCATTTCAACTCGACGATATATTATATTGTCGTTTTAAACTTGGTCTGCATTTAGATAGATAGCCAGGTAACTTTAATATTTAACCCAAAGTTTTCTAAATTATACGTAAATTAATTCAAAGTTATTAGATAGTTCTGAAACAAATTACTTCCTTACTTCAAAAGCGACAGGGACACATGTTTCGTTGTTTGGCTCGTTGGAAAGACTTTACCCAAACATAGCAGAGTCAGCTCCAGAAACTTCTTTAGACATCCATGTCTATGCTCTATGTTCAGACTAGAAATTTCAAAAAAAAATCTTTAGATTTTGAATTATATGATGTAAAAAAATTTAAAATTAAAATAAAGGAACTATTGATTGCTGAGGCATTTTACTCAGTCGAGGAATACAAAATATTTTTTAAAAATAAATACGAGTAAGTAATCCTCTGTTATGAAGTTTGTGGTATTGGTAGAAGTGTCTTTTGTATTTTACTTTACTTAATGTGTTAAACGGGTATTATTTATATTCTATGTAAAACTTGACTTGCTACAATTGTATTTTGTTTACAAAACGTAGTCAAATAAAATAAAATAAAATAAATAAATAAAAAATATGCTCTATGTTCGATGCTCTATGCTCGAATAGCTTGGAATATTCAACAGGCCCCTCGGGTTCTGTCGAATAAAATGATTCGATTGAAGACGTTCTGTTTATCATTGTAGACCGAAATCTTCGGATGCTGGTTTCGGTTTATTGCCGAGAGATGTCGATCCAGTGTCTCACTGTAGCAGATAAATCAAGTCCTTTTCTAAATCGGACTAATCACGAAATCTAACAATATTGTTACGTATTCCGTGGGTCCTTAATTTAAAATACACGATAAAATACGTAAACTAATTTATTCTTCATAATAACTAATTAAATATAACACTAATAACTCTTGAAGGTATATGCCCAGAAAAAAACGGCATCAAGTGAGCTTGGAATTGACGATCGATGACAATCACTATGAAATTTTACATATAGCGATTATATAATAGCGATCTTCATTGTCGAGCGATCTTCCGCGATTGTATTGTAGTCTTATTATATGGTAAGTTTTTAATTTGTTATTTTCTTTTTCAGTTGTGAAGGATGTAAAGGATTTTTCAAAAGGACTGTCAGAAAAGATCTGTCATACGCATGTAGAGAAGAAAGAAACTGTATAATAGATAAAAGACAGAGAAACAGGTAAAAACCCTTATATATAATTTACAAAATGTATAATCCTCAACCGTTTTCAAGTATGTACTATCAAATTACCAAATGTGTAAGATTATACTTTTGATAACAGATAACAGTAGTTGATGATTGTACCGTCCAAAAGGAAAAAAATATATGTCATATGTCATTTTTGGATGTCTTGTCACAGATCCAAAAAATGACAGAGAAATGGTACTAAATCATATTATGTTCTCTTTTTGGATAAGCTAAAGTAAACGATTTGTGTTATTCTGATCTAAATCTGGACTGTAATGCATCTCTTCTATATCATCTGACAAGCGGATCAGAAGCAGCGAAAGTGATAAAAAATCCATCTTGTCAATTTTAGCAATACAAAAACAAAATTGGTCCATATTAGCTATAAATTTAATATTTTTAGTGGATTCCCGCTTACACAATGTTAAGAGTCTATTAAGCTGTACTATTCGTGTCGCTTTCAGGGGTCGGGTAAAGGGGGTGTGTGACCAAAGGAAATATATATTATACTAGCGTGCCCAAGTAGCACGAAATATTGGCTGCTCATTGTTTCTATATTGGCTCAATATTGATTCATTTTCGTTCGCACATCAATGTTGTGCCAATGTTGTGCCAATGTTGGGTCAATATTGTATTTTATTCAGTACATCTAATCTTGGTAAACAATATTGTACCCATATTAGTTTCTTAGTTTTCGCCAATATTGAAAATAATCAATGTCGGCCCATGATTGGCATTAACAATATTTTATTGTGACATTGGCCCAATATGCCTTTTATATTAAGCAGTTTAAGCAGAATCGTGGTTAAGAAATTACCCAACTTCTTGGAACACCCTGTATGATTTTTAAAAATTTCAAAATATGTAAAAAAAACAAATAAATTATGCTTGTCCAAGCGTTTTCCGAAAGACTAACTGTTTTTTAAATAACAAATATTGTAATATTTGTGGGGTGTTTTCACCCCCTTGGAATTTGAGATTCGAGAAACCCCTCCTTATCGAACCTCTACACCCCATAGTCAATCCGTTTGCCAAAAATCAGCTTTAAACGTCAAGCAGTTTAAGCAGAATCGTGATTACTCAATGGTCATATTTTATGAAACACCCTGTATAAATTTATAAAAATCTTAAAATATGTAAAACAACAAAAAATAAAATATACGTGTTTCAGAGTTTTTCTGAAAAACTCACCGTTTTTTTAAATAAAATATATTTTAATATTTGAGGGATAGTTTCATCCCCATAGAATTTGAGTTTCGAAAAATCCGTTCTTATGGAACCTCTACACCCTAAAGTCAATCTGTTTTCAAAAATCAGCTTTTTACGTCAAGCGCTTTTAAGCAGGATCGTGATTAATCAATGACCAGATTTTTCGAAACACCTGGTATACATAACAAATTTTAACAAATCTTAAACTATGTAAAAAACAAAATGAAATATACGTGTTTAAGCGTTTTTCGGAAACTTGACCGTTTTTTAAATAAAAAATATTGTAATATTTGAGGGGTGGTTTCACCTTCTTGGAACTGGAATTTCGAAAAATCCCTTCTTATCGAACCTCTACACCCTAGAATCAACCTGTATGCCAAAATTGAGCTTCTTACGTCGAGTGGTTTGAGCAGGATCGTGATTAATCAGTATGTCAGTCACTTAAGGATTTTATATATTAGTATAGATTTCAGAAACACGTGCTTTGATTAAGGCTTGGTTGAGGTTTGCACAGCTTCAGCATTTGCCATAAGATAGCGAGCAATTTGTTACAAACCGTTATAAATTATATATCACTCTAATCACAAAACTTCAATCTATTTCCGTATTGTAATGGAATTTTAAATTATGTCTTTATTTTCGGGAAAATTTAGTCCAAATATAAGGGATATTTTGTTGATGTTTCGCCATCAAAATCTTAAAAATAAAGAAATTGTCTCAAAATGTGCTACAATACGGATATAGTATAATCTTTTATCTTTAATTTCCTTCTTCATTTGTGTAAAAATACCTAGCCAGTTTTACATAAAACGTTAAATGCCGGACGCTTATTTTGCGACTTTTTCGGATTAGTGAAATGGACTCTTAAGTATTTTAACGTAGTTCTTGTTGTTAAATGTATATGTTTATATTTAGTTAACTGATTTTCTTCATTCTTCTATTATAAAAAGTAAATATCTTCTAAAGATATCATCCGCTTCAGGCAAGCCGGCAACGCCGTGAACCTGATCTCGCACGCTTCGTTACCTGGCGGTAGCCATGCGCATAACGTTTTCCTATTGGCCAGTGCTACAACCAATTTTATGCTCCTCCCTGGAAATAGTGAAAATATTGACTGGTATTGAAGTATCCAGTAGCTGTGTTATTATAATATATGCTTTTGTACACTCTATACAGGGTTGTTCACCACATACGACACGGAGATTAGATTTTTACAAATTGTAAGTTTTGGGTTTGTTGAAGGCCTATTAGAGCTACAATTTAAACTATCGCTTTATTAAGATACAGAGTGTCCCAAATAAGTAAAAATATTATAGTTGTATTTTTTTAAATGGAACACCCTGTATATTATTCTATTTTTGGATTCTACGATTGAAATAAAGGTAAATTTTATTAACACTTAACTACCGTTTTTGAAATATTTTCAATTTTATGAAATTGCAGTAAAAATTTTAAGGCTTTATTTCTCTTAAGGTATCAAAGTTTTTAATACTAAATATTTACTGAAGATTATCAACATTGATCTAGATATTGTGTTGATAATAATAATAATTTTACTACCTTATACAGAGTGTCAAAAATTTATATTAAATAATTACTACGTCTTATAAAAATGCAATAACTTGTTTCATTTAAATGGAACACTTATATATTTTACGTGAATCAGATGCACGATGTAATTGTCTATCAAATTGTATTATACCATTTGGTTACCCATCTCTTCAAGTTTTTGTAGAAATTGCATTTTGTTATAATTTAGACCTCATTTATCACTATACCCATGGAATATTGACATTTCAGATTTTTTTTATGCACCATAATATGTACAAAATGTACAGGTGGTAAATATTGCATGCCCATTGGCATACAAAAAATCTATTTAAAGGAGAGAACGTGACAAGAAACGGTCATAATGGAAAAATCAAGGACTACTGCGAAGTTAAATGTTGGTTGGATGAGAATTACCTGACTCTGAATGCGAATAAAACCATTAGCAGTTCCATAAAAACACCAAAAATTAGTTAATTACATACTTTTAAATTGTTTTAAGTTTTAATAAATTATTCTAAATAAATGTGGATTTGGCTCAGAAATCAATATAATAATAAGTTATGAAAATGAATGTCTCTGTTTTTATAAATAGCATTCGTCAATCTAAATGAAATAAAATTTATAAGGTGTTACTTTTACCACACTATCTAATACACACACAAAATTCAGTTTTTTAGTATTTGGAACAATTATTACTACAACGTAAACAGTCAATTAATGTAGTTTTGAACACTGGGATCATATTAATTAGTCCTCTGCTTTAACAAAAAATATTTAAACAGTTTTTTTTTTATTTTTTAATTAAATAAGCGAACTATATCAACAATATTAGTATATGTACCCTTTGAAAATTTGTTACATCTTTGAAAATAAGCTAAAATGTCAATATTCCATGGGTATAGTGATAAATGAGGTCTAAATTATAAGAAAATGCATTTTCTATGAAAACTATTCAAGAGATGGGTAAAAAATGGAACAATACAATATGAAATTTGATAGACAATTACATTGTTTATCTGATATTGGTAAAATATATAAGGTGTTCCATTTAAATTAAACAAATTATTGCCGTTTAAAGTTAGTAATTATTTAATAAAAATTTTGGACACTCTGTATCAGTTGTAAAATTTTTATTATTGCAATACCAATATATCTATTCTGTTGGTGACTCTCTGATATCCGTGCCTTGTAGTGCTGACAAGATCGGTAGTATTTATTTGACTTGTAATAAGTAACTCTTTTTATTTCTTGTCTTTGATTATACATAGTGAACTTATTATATAACTGCTAGAGTTTAGTCTACGCAACAAATTTTCTTTTTTTTTTATTAATTGTCATTATTCCCACGCACAAGCTCTCAAGCTTATGTGGGATAATTTTGAAAACATGTTTGTAGTTTATTATAATAATTGTACATGTTTATAAATAAATAAATAAAATTCAAATACAAAAAAAGTATCCAGTAGCTGTGTTATTATAATATATGCTTTTGTACACGCTTTCTATATATAAAATATTGCTATATTTAGCAAATCACTAAATAAAATTATTTACATTACCTTTACTGGAAAATATTATAGAAATAAGTATATAATAATTTTTCATAAAACACCGCACGCTTCTGGATATTTAATGAATGAAATCAGTCATGTTTTTAGAAAACTGCGTTTCCTTTATCGTTTCTGTTTTGTCTAAAATACGTTTATCAGTGTTATCGAAAAAAATTGCGCCAAAGACTGCTGGGGAATGACAATAAGTGATAATTTTGGTGTGGTTAATTTCTAAACGTTTACCAAAACTTGACATGAAGCTTGTCAAAAATGAACACCAAAGATTAACACTAATTATAGTAACATTAAAAAAGGATAGGACACACAGACCTATTTAAAAAAAGATTTTTTTGGTTTGTTGGATCTCGAATTTTAAACTACACCATTTAAAAATTATTTTTACTCAATATAAGAATATATTACAACCTTCTTAAGACCAACAGGTAGTAAGCGCCATTAAAAAATAAAGAAGAATGCGGGCCAAGCAAATGACGTCTAGGGCTTGACCTCGCCAAAATTACCATCGATTGTCATTCTCCACCCGTCTTTGACACCTTTTTTTCGAACGTGGTATTATGTGAGAAAAACATTTATTGTTGTTCTTCTAGATGTCAATATTGTCGATACCAGAAATGTCTGGCCATGGGTATGAAACGGGAAGCGGTACAGGAGGAAAGACAAAGGACGAAGGACAAGGACACCTCGGAGGTGGAGTCCACGTCCAGCATGCAGGTGGATATGCCGCTGGAGAGAATAGTGGACGCGGAGAGACGGGTGGAGACCATGTCTCTTGAAGTGAGTAATATAATCACTAAAACAGATATAAAGGTAAAGATAAGCATCATGAAAATAATTTTCAATCGTGTATGTATTTTAAAGTTAATAAGGTATAAACAAACAAACGTCAAAAGAATGAGTGTCTCAGAAGTCTATACAGGTTTGGTCATCGTCGAAGCGTGGTCTGGATTTTACCATGTAAGACAGTGATAGAGACATGGTTGATACATTTCTTCTATGCGGTATTGCCGGATTTTGCGTCAAAATTTCAAACCGCTCAATTAAGCGTTTACGAAAAATGTTGCATCTAGGGTTGGATCTTTCATTTCCACAATTATTTACTCATTTTACTAGAGTTGTAATAGATTCTTATTAAGGCTCGATCTCAGAACTACGTTGTGTCGTTGACATTGACGAAACTGCCAAAATCCTAGATCATATATACTTACGTGGATAAGTAAATCACTATGGAACTGTCGTAAACATATCAACGACTTACATTTATCTCCTTTTTTTGTTGCACAAGCGGTGCTTCTACTCTGTCTATCCTTGTCGAGGACCTATCGTCCACGCGCCAAATTTGAACATTAATTTAAAAAAATTAATTTGCAAAATACATATATTTGAACAATTAATTGAATGTTTACTACCACAAAAATTAAATTATGTAAAAATACATTTAGCCACTTCGTACGAATATCAATATTCTTAGGAAATCTAAGTCTTAAGGTTAAATATAAAAAGCATGTGGTTTAATATAAATAAAAGAACAACTAAATACTTTACTTGCCTATGAAAAGATAATTCCGGAGATATTAGAACTTCCATACACCAAACACTTTCTTGGCATTTTTACGAGTATTTAGAATAGAATAAGTGGGAGGGGGGTTAATCTCTGCGACCTTAGAGATCTATTGTGTCCCCCTTTCTTGAGTTATAACTCATCGTACAGTCCCAGGACTTCCTACGGAGACCCGTGTCCTTCACAGTCGAGGAGCTACGACCCAGGCCGGGCAGACGAAACGGTAGCTTGTGTCGCCTGTTGGGTTTAGAGGTAGGAGGTGGGCTCCCGACCCTTGGAGGAGGTGGTAACTTGTATGCCACTTGCGGAGGATGGTCTCACGCAAGTGTCAGCCACCTCTCCTGTAGTTCTCTTTGGGTTTGGCCCCTTGGAACTTTCATTGTTACTGTTCCCAGTGTTGCTAGGGGGTTTCTCCACAGCTTCACCGGTGATGTTTTTATTACTATTATTACCAGATCTCATAGTGTTCCCATGAGTCGCTAGGGACAGTCGGTCCACTTCTACAGAGCCCCGCATGTAGAAGTAAGGGGTAAAATACAATGGGGTGCCCCCCGGTGCCCCAAGGTTGAGGCTGTCCGTAGCCCCGTCCGGTATCGTTATATGTCTTGGTGCAATTCCCTGGCCACGACACAACAGTCAGGGACAAGACGATTAGTGAGATGCTTCTTAGACCAAGCCAAGTGCTAGGGGGGATTCCCCCCAGCACCTGACCAGGAGCTTCCCCACCAACGACAAGGTCTTGCATCTCCTAGGGGAAGGAGTATTTAGAAAGTCCAACGGAAAAAAAAATAGAAATATAATTAAGAGAAATACAAACTTAAAATTAACTTCTCACTGAACAACATTTGCATCCTTAACTATATAAAAGCGGCCGATAAAAGAGTAATTAATACAATTAAATTAAAAACAAGCGTCGTTACACAATAGAAATAAGATTATGATTATGACATATGATTATGACAATATAATGACAATGAATAGTTTGGTTTCCATAACAATGTATAATTTGTACTTTCTAAACCGTATAAAATTGTGATTATTTTGGAAATACGTTTCCAAACTTTTATTACGCATGCGCAATGTAAAATCCTCGAGAAAGACAAACCTATTGAACGTTTCATACGTGCAATAAAGAAGGTTTGAAAATGGCATGTCGTGATGTTGGAGACATATTTTTTAATGCTAAATAATGTTTAGTACAGTAGTTTAGTAAGTAAAGTCAAAATTGACAGGTGTTATTTAGTCCTTAGGTTGGATTTAGTCCAAATTTTATTTATTCTATCGCGTGTAGCCTGTGACACTGCATATTTTAGAAAGAAGCTTTACACTTTAAAATACAATACACTATTCAGACTACATTGCTCAGTACTTGTTCAGAAATACTAGTACCTACTATTTCTGAACAAGTGCTAGTAATCGTATTTTAAGGTGTAAAGTGTAAAGTATAGGTATAGTATAAGTATAGCTGAAGAGATATTTTTATATTTGTGATAAATGTTTTGACTACGCCTTTGGTGTATGCAGTGGTATCATACTAATTAATTACAAAAAAAAACGTATTAAAATGTTTAACAAAAGTTACAAAACCAGTATTGACGTATAGCACATATCAAGTACATATAATATCAGAAAATAATTATCGAATTCAGTAAGAAAACTAAGAAAACGCTAAAAAGGTGGAGTGGACTGTTTATTTACCTATGAAACGTAACTCCTGGCTCTTTCTTATCGCTGCGGCTTTTACACTTGAAAGCTGGACAACTAATCACCATTTACTGTCCTCCATTGAGTCTCTGAACTGTCCAAGAACGCGATACTCTTCCTCCATTCAAGGCAATGGCCCAGCTACGTCGAAACACCGGTTCCCATTAGAACACCGAAGTTAAGCGACATAAGGCGATACTAGTGGATGGACGGATGACCGGTTCGAAACTCTGTATCGTCCAATAAAGGCAAAAGTGTAAAATTATTTATTATTATTAATTTATTAAAAGCTCAATCACGACGGTTCGAGGCCGGAAGAGATCGGATATCTCGTGAGTATAAGAGTTGATTTAGATACTTGCTAAGTCGCTAGACCATTGACCATGATATGGCCGAGGACCGCGGTTCGGATTCCGCGTAAACAAAGTAGGCCCCGTCCAGATTAGCCCTGTCAGCAAAAAGGAGACGTTAACTGAAATCTTTACTTTACTTTACTTTTCTCCCTCCATTCAATTGAGTCATAAAGTAATCCGAGATCCTCTTCTCCCTCAAGCACCTTCCTATAAATTAGTGCTCGGAGTTCCCCGCTATTTAAGTGAGGTTAAGAATAATGATTGACGGTTGATCACTTTGTTTGGTTCCCGATTTAAAAATTATGGAGATATGGAGGAACCAGTATCCACTTTATCCATCTTAAAACATCCTTTGGGATTAACTTTTTCAAGTTTGACAATATTTTCAACTTGACAATTGACATGTTTAGGTACCAGTCTATCGCGCACAGCTCCTTTCAGAACCGTTCTTGAGTAGCCCGGCTTAAGGATCTGGAATTTGAAATTCGTGAAGAAACTATTAAAAATCGCTAAAATTGTCACTGACGACCAGCTGATGATAACTAAAAAATGGTGTCTAACATCACCAATTCTGCTGCAGCCCGTATTTGGGCGTTACATGTCCATGTATTCTTTAGTCATTGAATGAAGTCAATTTACTTATCCATGTAGGTTATACGATTTAAGAACAAGACTTATTTTCAATTCGTGTGTATGTATTTTTTAGAAAGTCAATGGGTTTAGACGTTAAAATATTTTTATAAAAACAATAAACAAGTAATAAATATATCGGCGCATTTATTTGCGTTTCGGGCGTCAATGCACTAACGACCTTGCCGAACTTTATTGTTATTGGCAGAGCAGTTGATTTAGGCATACAGATTAGGGGATCGAGTAAGGATGTTCATTTTTAAAATTGTATCGATCTTGTGTGTTCTATTGCCATTTTTTTAAACTCTTTTGAACGAAATATGCTGGGAGTAACAATGACCGTAAAATATAGAATGGATGCGACAAAAGACCCATGTAAACAAATCCCTCGAGTGGCAATGGGCAGGACCCCTGGGAAGGGCTGACAACAGATGGCCCCCAAAAATTAACATGGCAGCATCATGAGGAATTAAGAGACCTAGAAAAAGACCATATGTTAGAAAGTTGGCAGGGATAACTTGGACCCGCATAACCAAGAATAGACAACAATGGGCCCAATTACAGGGGGGTTATAATATTATATCTATCTTAAAGGAAACTAGCCTTTTAGTGGCTCTTTTTTTGTAAAAAAAATTCTAACCAATAAAAATCACTTAACAGTTTTACAGGTACGGTAATCGCAAAACATTTTCCGATGCACGTTATCAATCGTATCGAAATTGACACTAAAGCCTATAAACCTGACTAAATGAAATTTTGACAGAAAATGTTTAAATTTTGATGTATAATTTAAGATGCCGAGCAGCTCTTCATTTTACTTTATAAAGGAAATGATTGTAACAGATATTTTATTTAGATTAAAGCTGCAAAATTAGTTTAAACCGAATTTTATTATCACTATGTTGGTGACATTGCGTGTTCAGCAACGTCATCGTTTGACAATTATTGTAATGTCAGGCATTATTTTGTATATCGTATTGTTGTTGAATCTTTGTGAGTAATTCTCGTTTTTTGTCTATGTTCATATTCGTTTTTTTAATTGTTCTTTTCAGTGCTTTCAGATGGAGCGGAGCATCCGCGACGGACCGTTCGCGATTTCGAGCAAGTACCATGAGTTTATATGAACAATTTCACATGGGTCGCGTATGCTCCGTCCGGATGAGCTATCTTGAAAAAACATCCGCGCGGACTAAACGCGCTGTTAATCACAAACAGTTCTTTTAGGAACTAAATTTTCGAGTTTATGTATTGCATTTCTTGAAATTGTGTGTTGAAAATATGCCGAAGCATTTAAACAGTCGAAACAAAGAGCTTGTAGCTTCCCTGATAAACTATTTTGAATGAGAACGTGACGATAAAAGTCCTTTATTATCCTGGACTGCAGTCAGAGAAGTAAGTTTGATTGTAAAAAATGTCTATACCTATGTGGCGGATTCATCTATCCAAAAAAATCCTTATGGGTTTTTGGCCACTGCACTGCAAGAAAAATCTACAAAATAAAATAGTTATTTTTTGTAAACACTTCTGGGCGTTAAACCTAAACGGACGCTGATTGTCAGAAG